GAGTGTGACTAAGCAATTAACGTTGATTAACTAACAACTCGGAGAATTTATCCACTCGGTAAGAGACGATGTTTGCGCGAGCATTGTTCGCGCCATGGATTAGTTGGAGTTAATGTCTACGTTCGCCTAGGAAATCAATTTACATGTAATCACCTATCCGAGCTTGCCAATCTTCTTAATTGAAGAGCCCTCTGTGAACAGGAAACGTAGATGTTTAGGATAGCTGACGTAGCTTTGATGAAGGGGTGCACACAGAGGGGTATGTCTTCCGGTTTGCTGCACCCAAATGCAATTGGGGAATATGATTGAAACAGTTCGAGATTGTTTTCTTATTTTATGTCGTGCTTCAATTTTAAGTTTACAAATTTGAACGGGTAAATAATCATTATTTATGTACATTTTGAAATTTTCAATCTCAATTTGTTTCTTGTAAACTACTTCTCATATTGCTTCGTAGGAACTTCTCTTTATTTAGTTGAAACTTTGCAAAGAGAAGTAAGTTATTCTTACAATTCTTTCGTATCGATCGCCTTTTAATAATTTCCATTACTACACTAACAAACGTAGCACTCCAAGACACAGTTCACGTTGATATGTTTACTGGTACTCTTTGACACGTAGTTTAATTAAAACCGCTTCAACACGATGCCATGTGAAGTACAGTTGGTGGAAGAAATATGGCGTAAAAATTAGTTAGGCATTAAAGTGAATTTGAAATGAACTTGGAATTGTTAGAACAACACACAATGAGATTGCAAATGTATTTCAATAGAGACGAAAAGAAAATTACTTCAACGCCTGACAAATCTTCGAGACCACGCTGTATTGCTTCCACCAACTATACCTCGCGTCTCATCATGTTGAGGCGATTTTTGTTTTAATTTCAACTATATGTCAGAGAATACAACTATAAATATCAAAGTGAAATGTGTCTCGGTGTCTTTTTGTGAAAAGAAAGGAAAGGAGAGAAGATGCAAGAAAGAAAACAGGCATACACGAGTGACGTCGAAAAACATACGCGACACGAACGTGCTCCCTTCATGATTACATCGGATGCTTATGGTTATCATTTTGAACATCTGTTGCGAGCAGGTTCGTAGCAGACAGAACGGCTCGCTCGTACATTCTTATGTACAATGATTCTTTTGTAGACCGCCTAGGATGATACCGTAATGTAAAAATGATTTTATTAAAAAGTAACTGCAATAAAGCTTTCATACATGTTCAGGTTATACATTGCACTATTACGTCACAGCTACAGCACTAAATAAATGTACACGAGACGATAGAACGAGAATGAATAAATGAACTTGACGAGCACTTGTTAAAATAAATTCTCTTTCTTTAATCTTTCTGTCATAGTTATTTCACTATTTGTTCGACCGTACCGAGGACTCGAACAATGGAGCCCTACCATATTCACAAATAATATATTTTCCGTAAATTGGTCTCTCTCCTCGCCATCAGCAAATTGTTTTATTACCTTCGAAAGTCGAATACCCTACATCTGGACACCACATGCACTACACTCATAAACCACCTTCCGACCTCAGGATTTTCCCATCCCCTAATATAACTATTTTAGCAACAATTTCCCCACTTCGACTCCACCAGACAAACCCTACCACACGCCCCAAACACCAATCAACAGATACTCCCACCACTTCTCACACATTTCACACCACCAATCACTGTACACACCGAACTTATAAAAACACAAACACACACAGAAAAAGAGGCATTCTATCAGAGATTCTATCACCAACTTTGAGACATCACGAAAAATAAAAAAGTAACAGTCACCACCAATCAGCCAGTATTTGTCTATCGTGTAAAACATATATCTCTTTTTCACCCACCACAAATCTCATCTACAAATTTAAACAGCACTCGTGCCATTAGTTTGCCGCGAGAGCAGTTCGTGAATTCTTTGCGCACCGGTCGAATTAAGCATCGCGTCGCGAAGTTCGCAAATCACGAACACTATTTGCATCATTTGCTCAACTTTTATGAATTTTTTGTATTGAAGGTGAAGATCGTAGTATTTAGGTCGTTGGACAGATCTTGACCTCAGCTATCAAAAAATTGCTTTTATTTCTACTTAAAAGTTATATCTCCCTTCAAGAAGCCTCCGTTACACTGCACACGTGGGGCTACAGCGCACACAGCACGTGTGAGCACGGCTGCTGTGCGTAATTTGTTTGAAGGACACGTCATTTCATGATTTGAAAGATGTGAATTGGCCATCCTGTTCTAATATCTCGCCTTCGGAATTTTTTTCCAAGGGGTTACTTGGAAGGTGTCGCGTAGTGTTAGGGCTTGCGGTTGATCTTTCGATCGTTCAAGCGTTGCCGATTTTTGCACGTGTGTGCCGACTAATGTTCTAAGGCTGCGAAGGACCAGTTTCTTGATTGAAACGCTAAGTTTTTATTTTATGTTCTATTTTCTACAACTAATTCAAGATATACATTCTACTGCGAAGTGAGAGGTGTTTCTCTTGCGAGTGGCCAAGTGTTTCTGCTGGAGTCTCTGCGGTTTCCCTCGACGAAGACTTCTATTTTCCCCAAAACACCTTGATCGGTGATTTTTCCTTTCCTAAATCACCAATCAGTTTACTCCGGTGCGTCGCAACCTCCCTCCATTTCGCCCTTAGCGCGTTATCTTAGGATGAGGTGTACTGTGGACGGATGCGTGGGAATCCTGCGGAATCTCCGCTTTTCTAGGCTTTGTTAAAGTCAAGTGGCCCATCGACGTTGGCAAAAGTCGTGGGCCACTTTTCTATTTTCCGTTCGTAGACTCCAGGACTTATGGCAGGGGCTGGTCCTAGGGACTAAGTGTCGCAAGCAACGCAATAAACACTTGTGGTGTTTTTGAGAAAGCGATATTTGCCTGCGACGGCGACCACTTGACTCGCTGCCATAAATCCGGCTACAGGATACGCCTTAACACGTAGACCATTTGAAGACCAAACAAAGACCATTTGAAAGATACGCGAGAGCAAATTTTCTATTACGAGACGAATCTCCTTCCTTTGTAAATTGTTAGTACACTATTAAAGATTTATTAGTGCAAAATGACGCCTCGTTATTTCATTTCGAAAACCGTCAGATGTTTCCGCTCAACCCTGTATGTTAAAATTTCACGAGAAGTGATCGCTTTCCTACCAAATAATTCTGAAATTAATGATTAAGCGAATCCTCCTGGAATCTCGGTAATTTGACACATAACGCGTGTTCTATGAAACACTTAAAACACGTTCTAATGAAACAATTGAAATTCTTCCAGTTTTAGTATCAAAGCACACGCGTTCTGCTCAACTCTGCGTAAATAAAAAGAATTCAATTTGACGGAGTTGGTCACTTTGGCTTCTGAGTGGGTCAAATATTAATCGTAAGTTAGAAAAATGATTAGCAAAAATAAGCTTGCAGTCTTGTCGTCAAAAACCAAAATCCTCAATAATACCACTCTTTTCCAGAAAATGTTCACTTTCCGTTATGCGAAAAGTATGCAACTCGAAGAAGTACACTACCGTGCATAAGTATTTGGCCACCCTATAAAACGGAATAACTTTTTTAAAATTGGGCCAAACGACTTGACTTTTTTTTTGAGAAGTTAGAAAGATTAGTTTACTAGATGACGTGTGCAAAAAATTTTGAAAAGATTACAGTTTGTGGGAATCGCGAAGAAAATTGTAAAGGTCACGTTTTACAACTTTTTTATCTGAGCTCGTAATGAAAATTTAAAAAATAAGTTTTGCAGATCT